ACTCCGACATCTTGTCGCCAGCTTTCCTAAAGCTATTATGAGACCAATGCTCGACAGTTTCATACGCCGAACAAAAATATGATTGAAGAAACCTTCCTCTCAAATCTAAAGTTACTCAAATTTTGAAATTACCAAGCCCATACTTTGACTGTTCTGATCATTCTCTGCTAAAAATCTTGCGACAATGCGCACCCCTAAATAATAATTATTATTAATCTCCGAAATTAATACTTTCTAAAAGATTCAAAAAATTAAATCCAAATTGAGAGCCACCGTTACAATATTCGAAAGCTTGGGCGTTTATAGTGAGAAGACTGTTTTCAGAAACTGGCCTCGTAATACGAAAACAACTGAAATGTAGGTTTTATTCACTACAATTTAGGTACCACAATTGTATTGTCTAAATTGTATTGTGACTGATTTAATATATTAATTACTCACTCGCGAATATTAGTTTCTTGCACTTTCTCTGTATCCGGCCAGATATTGTCTTAATATCCGGCATTCGGCCGAATATCACAATAAGGCAGGATAGAGCGAATACCGGATATCTGTTTCATCTCTAACAAAATCAAGGACGTAAAAATGCCTATTATAATGACTCTGGAGTTTGATAGCCGAAGCGTATCCAAATTCATTATCAGTCTTGCTTTCATTGAACTATGTATCTTTATTCATTCAGTCTGATGCGATTGATGCAAATCTCAATTCTAGTTCTGCTCAGTATTGCCATAGTGGCAAATTCTATATTTTTAAAACACTTTCCTATTGTTACTCTCTGTTTGTTTGTGCGTGTCAGTCACGAACTTGTCACCCACTGCGCGCGCGCGCAAACCAATGTCGAGTGGTACAGTATGATCTTTGGTGGTACGAATGTCTATGCTCATGAATGAGAAAAATTTCTTTCTAGTGACATAATATAAAATACTAAAAAGGGAAAAGTTAAAAAACACATTTCGTTAACAGAACACAGAATCTGAACTAAAAGTCAAAAATAAAACTTTCGTTGTAAAAGTGTTGGGATCTTTTGATATTCATATTTCTTAACCTCACTTTTTCAACGAACATGTTATTTATGGCTTTTTCGTTCATATTTTGTGTTCTGTTGACGAAAAGTTTTATTTTAAGTTGTTTTTAAATTCTTTTAATTTAAACTATGGTATTGCATGGACAGGCAATGGCTGATGTATACTTACAAAAACTTTTGAAAAAATGGAAATTTAGGGACCTACTCTCTAACGCGTAACTATGTCGTTACACAGCGGTTATTGTTTCTCTATTCGGTATAACATATAACATAAACAGTGATACTGCACATAGATGCCGATTAAGATCAAATCGTTACCATTCCGTAATCCTTTGTTAACGACAATATACAGAATAGACCCCTTGGCATACACAAACGAAATGCGCCGTAATTAGATTTCTCTTTTAATTAGGCACTCACCTTCGGGTCTAGTTTCAATATGTAGCCCTAAAGCTCTCTTTTAAGAAAGCTCGGTGTATATAAAATATATTTTCCTTTCAAGGGATTAGCTAGCGGCATTGAGTAATTAATCCTTCACGTTAGCGGTCGGTATTATTAGTATGGGTTAACTACTTAGTATCTACATAATACAAGGGAATTAAATCAATCGGAAGTAATTCTTGGCCAACAGAGCTAACTATGGGTCACAGCCTCACAGCAATGAAGCACTTTGTTTTGAATAGGTGATATACAGGGTGTTCACATACTCCGATCGCTTTCTACACAGTGGTTTGCACATAAAACAATTCTCATTGATATTTGGCATTTAGTAATGCAACAAGTGAGCCAACTTAACAAAAATGTACCATCATTTGTACACATGCCCTGTATTGACTAATAATAATAACATAACCAATTACAGATCGAAGTAGGAAATTATATTTCACTTTTATAAAAATCGGTCTTATAAGTGCCCATCAGTAATCGCCTTATGTGTGTTTATCTAAAATATTTTGTGAAATACCCTCGGAAATACCTACTTTTCAATTTTTCCTTGAAAATTTATTGCGAGCGTAAAGATAAAAATACCGTTCTAGAAAAATGTAATTCTTTTACAAATAATACAAATACATACATCAGCCTGTAATAGTCTCTTCCTATTTTCAAAATTAAAACCTGTCTCTCGTAGGGAAGTAATAGGTTTTTGATTAAATATGTGCATTAAAATGTCGCCATAATTCATTTCTAACGTCGCTTATATTTTAGGGTGTGTGAAAAATGTGTTACCAGTCTGATTCTCGTTTTACGCGAGATTGCCTTCCTTTATATCTTTCTTGGTCTAGAAAAGCATTCTCTATAATCCCCCTTAAGAAAAATGTTTGATACACGCCGTTATTTAGTTAATGCACATAACTTAACAATAATAGATACTTTGCCAGCTTTTCTCTCTACTGTGTGTTAAATACAAATTCCTAATGTAATTGCATACTGTTAATCGTGCATAATTTATTCCGCTTTTGGGGAAAAGCTATTTCGCTGCAGGTTTCTAATTTTCTGTTAATGTCTGCGATAGCAACAAGTTACGGCGCCTTAATAATTCATTGTTTTGTTGCAGGTGCATTGGGTTCAACAGCAACACGAAAAACGGCGGAGAAAGCGCGATTACGAAATTGCATCGATATCGCCCTTCGCACAATTTCTAAGCGCGGTGGCGCCGGGCACAAAGCATGGCCATCCTAGGTATAGAGCGGTCTCATCTAGAGCATTTCCTGATCCTCTTTTCAAGGAGCAGTGGTATTTGGTAAGTAGGTACAATTTTTTTCTCCAACAAACCACCAAATTGCGGCAGTATAGCAGCCGTTCAAATCCACGCACCTTACTTGAAATTTTAGAGGATTTACACATACGAGCTCTTACCATAATAGAGTTCTCGAAGTTGATTCCTAAAATGATTGGTTTTGAGTTCCGTGTTGCGGGAATTGCAAATCGCTTTAGATCACCTCTATCTCTTTGATAGCGTTTGGGAATTCATTTTATTGAACTCTTTGTTGTACACACAAAGAGCCTAAATCTGCGATATTTGTATTTATGCAGTGCCTATTGTAATATGAATTTAACGTCTATCGCATTGCACCTGCAAATTAATGAGAATTAGTGATTACTATAGGAATATATAATACAGTTCGCAAAAAAAAATAGGTACTCAAACGGTTTGGACTAATGGAAGCCTGATGTAATCGTCAACTATTTCCAGATACGAGTACGTAATTGCATTACTTTTGTTCAATTTTGGAAAATATGTACTAGAAAACGTGCTTTTCCGATGATACTTTATGAACACGTATCTACACGATTTAATTTCATAAGTGTTGTGATCGTTTTTATATACCGTGTGTTAGGGAGATCATAACATCGGCTATGTATTCTTTCGCCAAGGATCCACGAGACCTTTGGAATACAACACTGTATTCCGTATAACTTCCGTTGCACATCATCGTTTTTTCTGACGTAGGTAATTACTATGCAATAATGCCAAATCTAGCTTTGAGTGATTTAGGTCGGACACGGACGACTCGGCTCTGTGCAACTCGGCACCGGACTACACGGCACCGGAATACTCGGCTTTCAGACGACTCGGCTCTGCCATAACTCGGCTTCAGGACTACTCGGCTCCGGGACTACTCGGCTCTGGGATTACTCGGCTCCGGGATTACTCGGCTCCAGGACTACTTGGCTCTGGGACGACTCGGCTCTGCCATAACTCGGCTTTAGGACTATTAGTCCTTGGTGATAAAACAATTCGTAAAGTTGAAATTTGTATGTGCATAAAGAAACCATACGAACGGAGGGTTTTTTTCAGAGCCCAATGATTCTCGCGGGGCCGGGTAAAGCTAGAGTCGAGTTATCCCAGAGCCGAGTAATCCCAGAGCCGAGTTATCCCAGATTCGAGTTATCCTAGAGCCGAGTAATCCCAGGGCCGAGTTATCCCAGAGCCGAGTAGTCCCAGAGCCGAGTAATCCCGGAGCCGAGTTGCCTCAGAGCCGACTCGTCCCGAAGGCGAGTAGTCGCGCAGAGCCGAGTCTTCCTGTACCGGATTTAGGTTATGTCCCTTGTCAACAAGACAGTGTATTGTTTGTGTGAATAATCCATACCTTAAATGAAATAAAAATTGGAACCATAATATAGGTACATACAATACACTTTAATAATGTATAAACTATGCAAATGTAATTTTACAGGTTATGTGATGATATTCAAATTAATCGGAATCATCCGAACTGTTTTCGTGTTCAAAGTTTATAATTATAGTAGCAACGTTTTCAAGATCTAATTGGTTTTCTCTTTCGTACCAATCGTGTAGGTATTACAGTTTGCGCCACGTTTCGGATGTTATCGATTGTAGTGCTTCTTGCCACATCTTTATGCAATTTTCAATGCTCCATCCATGGCCTGTGCAACCTTTAGCAACAGTTCGGCTTTAAAATCATTTTCGGAGAATTGCACATTATGATCACCTAACCACACTTTAATGCCGTCTGTTTTCCACGAAGTGTCCGTTATCTTCGTGAGCAAATAGCAATGTGTTATGTAAGGTGCGTTATCTAACACAATTACTGACGGGATTTTTAAATTCTTCAGTAATTTTTCTTCAAACCAATGCACAGCGAAAGACAAGACTTAGAAAATAATCAAAATCAAATCAAACGAACAGAGTACACCAAAAGCGAGCCTGATAACGGGTCCACGCGAATTTAAAAAAATTGCAGAAATGCTTGGAAATGGCCTATTTTTTGAAAGGTGATAGTTTTTTTTTGCGCAAATGTTAAGTTTTTTCACAATTTCCAACAAAACATGTGTAGTAGTTCCTTAATTGTACAAGAGATGGCGCTGCGTATACATCATAAAATCAATAACTTTGCTTCATTAAATGTTCGTGTAGGAAGAAATTCAGGTAACGTTTAGAAGGGTCTAAATTCATTTCTGCTTATAACAATAACCTAGAGCAATGCTCAGTGCAATGACCTAATTAATGCAAAGTTGTACCAGTATTTTATTAAAAGAATAATTACAAGGTATTGAAATATAGGCAAATCGATCCTTTAGTAGTTGGGTTCCTTCGTCAGCATTTGCATACCGCCCAGACAAGACCACGAAGAGGTGTAACCCACCTTGTCCACGAAAAGATGGGAAAAGAACTGAAAATCGGTAAACAGGAATAAAATGGAAGGTGGATAAAATAAACATGGGTGAAATGAAAGAAAGGGAAGATGAACCTAAAACAAGAACACTGGTAACATACTAAAATTGTTGTACGTGTTACATTACCTAAATTCCAGTAACATAATGAGGGATAATATCGGATCCGGAAACAGAATGTGACCTGTAATAAAAGTGCATTTATAAAAACTGGCAGATTAGGCTAACACATCACCTTACCTGTAAAAAACACTTAAGGTGCACCGCTGGGGAGCTTCTTCGGAGTCTTCTTCTTCGACATAAGGTGGGTACAATGTTGCGGCAGCCTGCATGAATGCATACAAACGATCAGCGCTAGGCACTAACCGCTTGAACATGAATTCGGCAAGATACCCTACCATGTGCCCAGCCTTCCGTCCATATCGTGGTACTCCTCCGCGTACTTCCCCCCATAACCTCTCGGTGTTCTGGGTGTGGGAACCTTTTTCCGGATCGACAAACACGTAGCTATGGTTGACGGTGAGGTGTCGAAATCCTTCTTCACCCAAGCAGTCGTATGCCTTCCAGCAATCGGAGATGATGGTGGTGCCTGCAATACCAAATCATGAATAAATGAAGCGCCAAATCATTTGGTCATAACGCAATCCTCTTCCCGACCATGGCACAGATGAAAGAGAAGTAGGTATCTGTATCTATGATCAACTTAATATCGCTACATTTCTTACAATAAAATATGCCAAAATTAAAGTTACCAGGTCGGATGTTGTCCTTGATGATTTGTAGAATAGTAGCAGACGTACGATCAGGGGCTGAAACCAGGAAGCAACTTATGGAGCCACGTTCGATGCCACCAAAAACCCACTGACCTTCGATTCCTCGTCCACGATTGTACTTCCGCTTGCCTACCTTCGCTTCGTCGATCTCAACCGTGACTCCTTGTCCACCTAAAAGCACAGAACGACGAGTTAATAATCTATACATACCTCTCTGCAAAAATTGCTCCAATCGAGGACGGCAGCCCGAGAGATGACAAAGTGCTCCGTGAGAATGGCCTGTCTGGGCTGCGGGGAGATCAGCCAGTAAGCAACGAAGCGGCAAACTGTAGCAATATCCATCGCAGCTCGTTCGAAGAAGTGTCGGTCCTAGCTGAAATGGCATAAGAACATCGTTTACTAGTCTTCTTCTTTGGCACTTTGCACGTCCGGCGACATCTAAAACGGAGACGGTTTCCATCGCGTACAAAGGTACGGGGTTTCTTGCAGGTGGGGCAGTCAACAGGTCCTTGGAGGAGCACGCGATGGTCCTGTAAAAAAGAAATAATCCTTTCTGCCGTTCTGCGTTGTAGGTGAGACCTATAAAAGCAAAAGAAGATTAGCGCAGCCGCCACAAGACATGATTGCTGTCAAAAAAGCAGGAAAATACAAACAAAAGGCTAAAGATGTGGTCCCGAACCCGATGAGAGTCAAGAAGCAAATGGCGCTGAAAGCAGAAACTGGCGTGAAAGCTGCAGCAAAAAGCATGCGCAGCGCGCGGAAAATGCCACTGAAGATAGGATTTGCGCTTCCACCTATGGAGAGACAATGGAAGTAACCAAAATTTTATTTTATTTTTTTAAATAAAAGTTGTTAATTGCGCCAATTTCTGTTTTATCGTTCTCGAAGGTCATTCTATCATGCGTAAAAATTTCATGTCTGTCCGGCGTGGACCCGTTATCTAAACAATTACCAAATTTAAAAGAAACAACGTAGGGAAAATGCTACCAACCGTTACGGCTAAAATAAACCCCTATACCACATCTAAAAAAGCAGCATAGCACTTCGAATACGGCATCATTGGATTTGACCTCGGATTGGACCCATTTTCAATGGACATACCTATACTATACAGGGTCGTTCTTGACGAGCGTCAGTTAGAAAGATACACCTTTGAAAATGAAACTAAACTGATAAAGTGATAAGTTTTGGCACATGATGAATTGAACTAAAATATTTTCAAGATGGCGCCACTTCCACAAATACCGGTGGACGGACGGACAAAGTGGCCACAATAGCGCATTTTTTTTAATATTTTGGAAATGCGCTAAAAAGTATCTATTTGCTAATTTTTTGTGTTGAACAAATAAGGGAGGAGCCAAATATTTTGTAACAAAGCGGCTTTATGGTTCAGTGGTAGAGCGTTGGACTATAAATCCGGAGGTGGGGCGTTCGAACCTGGGTTGAGGTGAATTTTTCATCTGTGGCAGAAATGGGAATTACCATAGACCAGTTTCGAGCATTCTGTCGGCTACTCCGAATCAGGGTTTCCTGCAGTAATTAGGCGAAAGCCTGTTGATGGCCCAGAACAAGAGAGATAATAAATAAATAAATAAACTGGCAAACAATCTGGCAAAAATCGCATTTACTAAATTTCTTAATTCAAATAGAAAAGTTTTATTTTACATCAGATTTCGCCTGAAAGCGAGTAGTCCTGATTTATAACTATTCGCTTTAGCCTTCCATTCCCTTATAGGCAGGTTTTTAAGTATGATGTGTAAAAGGATCTCCGCTTTTATCACTTTATACCGAGAGATTATTTAAATTTTCTACGTTCCCGTTTAATTTCGGTAAAAGTACAAAAAGCGAGACCTAATCTTTTAATTGCGGACAAAGATAAAACTTAAAAGCTCCGGAAATGTTAATTTTCATTTAAAAATGATAAATTTTATCACATAAAATATAACATGCTGGTGTGCACTTTAAATTTACCACAGTTAAATAGGATAAAGTAGGGCAAATTTTTCTACCTTGTTTTATAATAAATATTAAGTGTACAGAGAATAATTTCCAGGTACGTTGGGCTAAGCCTAAGCTATTTTTGTGTCGTATTTCTAAAAAATTCTAGTACTAGTAGGTTTTTAACGTATTGTCCTCAGTATTACACATGTGTATGTAGATAGTAGGTTTTATGTGCGAAACACAATTCGATTTGCTTATATAGCAAACGCCGGCATTTCTCGAAAGTTCACGAACGCTTCCGAACACTCGAATATTCTAGAACAAGCACGTCATATTTCATGGAAAAAAATGCGTCACATCTGCCTTAGTTTTCTTTTGCTGGCGATTCATCTTTCATGGTGCCTCGATATCTATCGGGATTTCTAAAATATTCGCTACACTAAGAATTTTTACCACCCGTGCGTAAGTAAAGGGTTAGGTATTGCATTGGGGTAAAGAATGACCCCCATTTTTTTTAGGGAAATATACGTTTTGAAGCACCAGGAATCCGAACCAAACAAAATCTCGATAATGTCGGTCGATCGGTCTGTAGGTTTGTATTCTAATTTTATGATAAACGGCAGAACCGATTAAAACTGTCAATTTTTGACGTTTTTCCATAAATATTATTATAGGTAAACTGTCGCATCGAATTGAATCAAATTTGCTACATAATATGTTCTATTCCGTATGTGCGTGAGGTATCTGTGCTGACCACAGCAAATTTTTTTAACTACCTACTAGATCAAAATCCTTGTGGTCACGATTTTAGTGCATTTTACTACCACAATAAATCTTTTAGTAAACTTTTCTGAAAGTCACATAAATTTTTGCCTAAATGATACATAGTTTACTGTAATGGGGGTTTACAGTATAGTTGAATTCCGTAGTTCTAATTTACTAAGCGTGTACTGAAACCAAAAAAACATTTTTTTGGACAGTAAAAGTATATTTAAAAATAGAGGCTGATTAGCAAAAAAATAATGAACATGTGCGGTATTAGGGGTTTATTCAAAACGAGATGATTGTGGCGGACTCTGTGAGGTAATAAGCCCGACCAATCAGTTACTAGAACCATTCAGTTGAGATACGACTTGGCAATATTGCAGGAAAATGTCATTTGTAACTTGCGTCACCTGTCACAGGCACTTGTCACTTGTCGTTCACTTTCGCGTTAGATTCAGTTAAACATGCCTCTTAAAACGTCAAATCCGATAAACGTCAGACTCTCGCACAAGGTTGCCGGCTCACTTCTACGTGATTGGTTGTAGGTTTGTGACGTATTTAGACTGAAGCGTTTCAAATTAGGACTAAAAACACAGCTTTTCAATAATTTATTTTGGTTTATTTTCCTCGCAAATAAAAATTGAGGACACACGAATCTTTTTATTTTTAATGTACTTTGTAGATCAGAAATAAAAAATGAAGCCGGGATGCCCCCGTCACTTAAGGGTCATCGTTTGTTTTTGAGATATAACGTAAGCGACCATTTTTTTTTAATGGGAACTCTATTTTTTATGCTGAATTTGGAAAGAGCATGAAATTCTAAGACCAAATATACCTTCATTACAACATCGGATTACCTTTAATGTTATTTTAACATACGCGCTGGACCACCGCCTGTAATTTCGCACTTCACATAAACAATAGCTCCTTGCAGCAACCAAACAACTTTGAAACTGCACGTTTAATCAATTCGTCCTCGACTGAATACAATTGCCTTTATTTATTTCAACAACTAAACTCACAAATTTAGTTTAACGTACCTTTCTTCTTTTATTGGCACAGATAATTTACATAATCCGTTTAATCTCTTGCCGATGGAAAATATTCTTTTAGGTAAACTTTTGATAGGAAAATCTTCTTTTGCTTCCGATGGTGTTGAATTATAAGATTTGCCTAAAACTCGCGAGAAATTGACGTTTCAAAACGATGCGATACTAGAAAAAATATGAACTTCCGCTATAGTCAAATCGTAAAAAAAAATTTCTGCGGCAACTTAACGTGTGCATTTGTAACTAAATAGAACTAATTTATATAACTGAATATGATCCCCATTCCAGGCAGCACTTCGCCTAGGTATATAATAAAATCTTGGGGAAATGGAATTATGAAGTTCCGTTATATGGCAAAACTATCGTTAAGTGGCCAGAATTCGCATTGACTGTTTTCAGTGGGCCACCCTGATGTGCGTAAACAAATTCTTCGCAATATTGCAATTTTCCATTGTAACTATGCTCCTCCGACACTCCGTTTTCAAAATATTCACATTTCAATTTTTACGCCATTGAAATAAAATAATTTTAAGATGGCGTCGCTTCCGTAAATACCGGAAGTGGATGCAACATCTGTTTTTTTAACAGAAACGTACTATTCTGTTTTTTTTCTAAATGCGCTAGTTTATTCTGAATTGGACGCAATAAAGATGTAAGTACCTATCTGTCTTGCCAATTTTTCTCTAAAAATTTGAAGATGCAAGCGTCCATTCAAAAATTCATATTAAATGTTCAAGGTAAGTGAGTGCTGTTTTTTTATAATCGAATCCTGGAAGCATAAAGAAATTTTTGAGTGACCGCCGCGGCGAGAGTCTTTCGTGGACTGTTTGGAAGAAATAGTTTTATTTGGAATGTTCTTCGAATCAAA